ATGCATGCCCAGAGCTGTGTGTATGCTCAGGAAAGAACAGAAAAGGCCCTAAGCTCTCACCTCTGGTTAATCTTGAAGTTCTACACAAGTAGGATGTGATAGAGAATAGAAAAAATAGGGAAAAATCAACAAAATCAAAAGTTGGTTCTTTGAAAAGATTTTTTTTTTTTTAATTTTTTTTTCAACTTTTATTTATTTTTGGGACAGAGAGAGACAGAGCATGAACGGGGGAGGGGCAGAGAGAGAGGGAGACACAGAATCGGAAACAGGCTCCAGGCTCTGAGCCATCAGCCCAGAGCCTGACGCGGGGCTCGAACCCACGGACCGCGAGATCGTGACCTGGCTGAAGTCGGACGCTTAACCGACTGCGCCACCCAGGCGCCCCGAAAAGATTTTTAAAAATTGAAACAAACAAACCCTGAAATACCTTTAGGTAGCCTAACCAAAAAGATAAAAAACAGAGAAAGGACTCAAATTATTAAAATCAAGAAACAGAGAACAGTACTACCAATCTTAACAGAAATAAAAAGGATTCTAAGGGAATATGCTAACAAATGAGATAACCTAGATATAAAATGGTTAATGAGATAACCTAGATATAAAATGGTTAATTCCTAGAAAAACACAAACTACTGAGACCAACTCAAGGAGAAACAGAAAAATCTGAATAGACCTATAAGAAGTAGTGACTGAATTAGTAATGACATAATTTCCTGCAAAGAAGACTCTAGGAACAGATAGCTTCTCTAGCAAATTCTACCAAACATTTAAAGAAGAATTAACATCAATCCCTTATAACTCTTCAAAAAAATAGGAGAGGAAGAAATACTACCCACCTTATTCTATGAGGCCCTGATACTAAAACCAAAGAGGTATCTTAACCAGATATCATTTTATTTTATGAATATAAATGTAAAAATACTAAGCAAAATACTAGCAAACTGAACCCAATAACACATAAAAAGGATTATAGAGCCAAGACCCAGGGAGATTTATCTTGGAAATACAAGGAGGGTCAACATATGAAAATACATCAATGTAATACAGGACATTAACAGAATAAAAGTAAAAAACCACATGATTATCTCAATAGACAAAGAAAAATGGTTTGACAAAATCCAACACCCTTTCATGATAAAAACATTCAACCTAGGAATATATAAGAACTTCCTCAACTAGTCCCATCAGCCATGAGTCAGTACAGTTCACATGGCTTTTTGATCAAAAGCAATAAAACCTGCTTATTAAATTCAGACTTTTTCTTGGCTTGAAAGATTCTCCATGATTTTGTCCTACACAAACTTATTTACTTCTTGATTCTAACATAAATCTAGCCAGACTGATCTTCGTGGTAGGCTTATTCTCACATGAATGGTATCGCTCATATTGTTACTTTAACTCAGAATAACTTTCCTTGTGCCCTCCATGTTTCTAACTTTGCTCTCATCTTTTAGAAGTCAAAAGCGGGGCGCCTGGGTGGCGCAGTCGGTTAAGCGTCCGACTTCAGCCAGGTCACGATCTCACGGTCCGTGAGTTCGAGCCC